CCTTCAGTGAGAATCTACAATGTAAATAGTCATGAAAATAAAGAAAACGCATTGAATGAGAAGGTGTGTCCAAACTTTTGGCCTGTACTGTATCTCTAGGCATCTTTGCTTACCTTTACATCATACAAGATTATATCATATTTTATAGCCTGGGTTGAATTTGGGCTTTAAATTCCGGACACATGGGCAGTAATAACACTGCGTCACAAATGGCTGTTTTCGTGCACGAGCCTGTAACATTTGGCACGTGGGTGGCAGCAGACCCATTAACACCTTTAGGTGTGGCGCTTTTATAATACCCAGTCCTCGGCTGTAACACCTGGCCACTGGTAGATGTAGGGGGGAACACAGGGGACACGTCCCCTTCAGAATATAGCGCACATGCATTGTCCCCTCCCAATAAAAACACGAGGGTAGCACAGGACTTTTATTTTGAAAAATAATACGTTTGATATAATGGATGTAGAAATTGGTGCATTGTAATTCACCAAAATGTTTTGGAGGGGACCCCCAAGCTACCATGTCATATGTGTCCCAACCTTATGTTGACACAATAAAACGAAACCTACGTCGTTAACTTGAACTTTAACTGCACATTTTCAAAAATATAGGCTATTACAATCTATAAAGTCAAAGTCAAATTGTTTGGTTTATCATTAACTCAACTTTAAATGACTCCAGAGGGTTTATGAGTGTAGCCTACAACAATAATTTCAAATAGAATCTGCTAGGTGCTCATGGTGTTATTTCAGGTCATAAGGTCAATAGGGGAAAAAGTGAAATTATCCCACTAACACGTTTTGACCAAGCATCAACAAACATTTAAGTGGCTTACAAATGGTATAAATGGGGTTATGGGGGTTATGATAGCGCCACCTCCTGGACACAAATTGGATTGCACTCCCTGACAGAAAAAATATTAAGTGATTTTATTTATAATGCAACTCCAAAATTATTTGCAGCATTTGATTAAAATATGGTGTGGCACTCATAGAAGTCTGACTGAAAATGGGACTGTCACTAAAAACACCTCTGAGACAAAATGAACTCATACATGACCCTAAATGATAAGATTTGGCATCATACATGGATCCAGCACTTGGGAGACTGTTGTGACAAAGTACTTGCCCTGTCTTTTGAGCAACTGAAGAGGAAATATGTGTTGCCCAGCAGGACCTTCTTCTGCTATCTTCAGTTAAGATCTTCTCTTAGAACCAGCCTGGACCCTGGAGTGACTTTACACATATTTACTGATGTGGAAAATACTGTTTCTTGAGGGAAATGTATACAAACGTATTTCTTCAATGTACTCTTTGCTGCTACTTGAGGGCCCAAAGCCAAGTTTGCACAAATCTAGAGTGAGATGGGGATCAGATCTGAACATAAGAACTGATGAACAGCCCTGGTCAGATACAAAACAGTTTGTTAGCTACTATTAATGCCTGGTACACACTGGTTCACGATAATCTCCTTCATCAGCTGAACCTCACCCCACAGAAATTCCATTAATTTAAACTTAATCTGTCAGAACTGTGCTTCAGGTGTGGTATAGAGGCACTGCGCCTGGCTTTGGATAAAGCTGAGGCCCTTTTGGAACAACTTTTGTGAGAAGTTGCCTTCCCATGAGCACTGCTTTCTGGGGACCTTCACAAGTGTCAGCAGATCTTTAACCAAGACCCAAATTAAATTTATGGAAATAGCTTTCTGTGTGGTCAGGAAATGCAAAGCAGTGACATGGAAATCTGATTCACCTCTCCTCCTCTTTGGAAATGAACAATTGTACTCCCACTGGAAAAGATCACATATAGTCTAACACCTTTCTCAAACTTTGGCAGCCTTATCTAAAATACATAGCTGCATCACTGACACTGCCATAGGGATGTCATCATTCAGCAAGAGACCTCTTTGAAGGATATCACAGTGTTGGTGTCGTGTACTTTCTCTCTGTGTTTCACTCTTTGTTTCCTTTTCCTTTTTCAGTTGGGCTTATATTGTAGTGGTGGGGGCTCTGCCTTTTGTGTTTTATGTTCTGTCATTTGTTAAAAAATGTGGAAATAAAGTTTTAAAAAAATGTCAGAGTGAACTTAACTGAGGTGTCGTTACGTTAACCGCAGTCATCATTGGTATGTTGTCGAGGCCAAAAGGTGATTCATCACTTTGCCTTTATTGTGTTTGTGCTGATGTGGTAAAAACCAACAGTTACAGAGCAGCTGCTGATTGAAATGTTCAGCAGTGTGGTGGTTTCTGAGGCCACACTTCCTCACTTCCTTGCCAGTGCAAGTCATACATTAAGTAAACAAGGTGGTGACCTTTACGTATAGGGTGGATTAGGGCAAGTCCTACTCATGTACTGTATTTCCACATGAAGCCAATACATTAGATCATCACCTTATATCATTATGAAATCCCTGAGGTATTTTCTTCTTAAATTATAAAGGATATATTTGGGATATTGTACTCAAAGGGAAAATGACATATACAACTTATACTGAACGAGGAGAACCAGAAGGGCGTAAGTAACATTTGACCAACTTTACAGGATAAATAGAAAATAAATAAATAAATGAAGGCCATACTTTTACTTAACTTTGAGCTTTGTTTATTGCATGTTATATTTAAAACTACATTTTTTCCCTGTGTTTTTACCGATTTCAATCACCTGGTCTGTTTATACAGTAAAAACCTCCTAACCTAACCTGGAAAAGTTAAGTTTCAGCTGGCTGAAATCTACCATCCTAAACTGGTAGATGCCACTAAATCCTGCACACTGCTCCTTTAATTTCCCGAATGCGTATTTTCTCAAATTAAATGATGTATTTTTATGACTGTCCCACATTCGTCAAAACCTGCTGTCCCACTTAAAACCTTTCCTAAAGTGGGGCGACTAATGATTGCTTGAAATAATAATAACAAATACAATTTCAGAACCCCAATGCAAAATTTGATACACAAAACATCACAAACATTATTTAATCACAGTTAGGAACGTTGTTTTACTTATGACAGATGTATATCCTTAACACTGATGTTGCCCAAATTCTGTCATTGACCTTTGAGTGGACTTGACGCCCCCATTTGTGACATTACATCCGCAAAATCATGTGATTTAATGACATGACACCCTTGCTTGGATGCAACAGCAATCATGTTCACTTTAATGTTGCAGAGGGAGACATATATGCAGTGGAGCTTATAGATGTCCCACATTAATCAGTGTGCCATGACACTAATCCAGCACAGATACATCCGCATTGGACTAATCCTTTAGTCATTTAATCATTTAGACAGATGCCTGCAGATGAAACTAATCTGATTCCAACTTTAATTGATTTACTTAGTCCCGTGGTCTTTTCTCTTCAGGGGGGTTTAAGCTTAAAGGCGCACAAAAGAGCATCCTGTCCAGAGATCAGCCCTGCGGGACTAACACCTGCTTTGATAGGCTAAAGGATGTTTTCTCGCAGGCTCTGAGTGAATGTGTGTATCCACCACTAAAGAGTTAAAGGATGATAAGCGAATGGGATTAAAATTAATTTAATTAATTAAATAAATATAGTCCCACATAGTCAAGAAAATATTCCATTGAAATATTTACAGATGTGCAATAATTAAAGGTACTTTGTTTCCTAATTTCCGACCCATATCTTTCGCAATAATGTTAAATCATCCGCAATGATACACACCATGTGTGTAATATTATCCTGTGCAATTAACTATCGTGTAGCCTATCTGTAAATTTATTTCTGTTTATCACTCAGTCTCATTTTTCCTTTGCTCTGGGCTCTTGAGCTGCTGCAACAAATGAATATTCCACATATTTTCTTATCTAATCTTATCTGTTTATATGCACTGTGGAGCAAAAATTTGTTTGGGTATAAGTGCACTATAATTCCTAAGACTATAGACCTTATCAACAATCAATAATAATAAACTTAAAATAAGTAGGCGTATAACATGAACTGCCTGCTTGCACTCTGGTCCGTGGGATCTCTGGCACACAGGCTACTTAACCCACGATGGTGAACAATTATGAGTCCTCCAAGTGTCCATTCATGTGTTTATGTGCGGGAGCCTGTAGCTTTTACTGTGGTCTTTCATATGTAGAAAAACACACGACAGTGGCCATTAACACTGTCCACACTCTGCAGCCGTCAGACACTTTGATCCAATCCACAAAATCACTTCAGAGCCTCGAATTATGTTGTTATCAGACCCGACCCAGCTCATTGAAATAACCTGTTTAAACCTCCCACTGAAATCTAGATTCGGGTCTTTTCACATATTTATTTATCAGACTAATCAGATCAGTTACAACATATTCTCGCGAACTATAACACCACCAGGATCTGTGTGTGTGTTTTGTTATGATCCTGTGTTTATCACGCATTGGTCCAGCCTCCTCCATCACCAGAGAAACTGCTGCATGTAGTCTTTGCACTTTTAGCGACTCTTCCAGCAGTGTGATCTGTATCTGGAGATTTTGTGTACGTGGCGAAAAACAAGTTAACACCGGTCAGTCAGAAGGGAACTTAAAATATGTGTTCTGAATATGCCTACTGTGTAATACATTTAAACCCTTTATAATTAACAAAAAACTTCTAACAGTCTAACAGTCAAAATTGTTTTGATTGCACACCTTATTGATTAAATAATTCATATTAATTTAATAGAAATAGAAACTCTGGACTGAGTTGGGTCTGGACACATTTCCAGCAGGGCTTGAACGTGTGCAAATTGCATGCTCCCACACTTGAAGCAGTCTGCTGCTGGACAGTGTGTGAATGGCCACTCTACTGTACTTCTCTACATTTGAAAAACTGTACTTAAGATCATAGCAGCAACATGCTCTCCACCATCAACATGTCAATAGACCGCTGTTTCATAACTGTTGTCCAACCCGGATAAAGTATGTGCTAACTGTCCTGTGGATGTTCCTCTTCTCTAGCCAAGTACAAGCTATTAAGCTATTCACACAGTGAATGGGCCACTCCAATGATCTGGAATGATCAGGAAGTTGTGCTTTATTGGAAATGGAAACAAGAGAATTCATCAAGCACAATCAGGAAAACAATTCATCATATCTCTATTATGTACAATATGTACTCAGAGCAAAGCAAAAATGAAAAGCACATCTGCTGGAGTGGTCACCAGCCAAAACAGATGACGCGAATTTTACGCACGCGTAAAATGCATTTTATTTTTTTAAGTTACAGCTAAAAAAATCTTTCATAAGTATAACTAAGATCAAAAAATAAAAAAAGCGTGCAAAACAGCAAATCTTAAAGGAAAAACGCCTCATGGGGCATGAAAATATCTTCACTGTACACATGAATCCAAGCTGTACAACAAAATACATATTTACACAGCTAAAATCTAAAATAAACATCTGTGTCCAAGAGTCAGTCACTGCGGCCAGGGCCTCCACACTGGATCAGTGATGTGCGTGCAGGCTGCCGTAGAGGAGAGCAGCTCCCTGGTGTCACAGTGAAGGCCAGTCCTCTGGGTGAGGTATGGGTGAGAGATCCCGTGCTGGCGATGACGGTGGGACAGATGCTGGGGAGACAGAGCAACCTGTGCCCTGTGGATGTGTCCGGGAGATGAAGGGTGTGTCTGGGGCCCAGGAAGCGCAAGAGAAGCCTGAACTGTGTCCCCACCGGCCTCCTCTGACCCCTGGCTCTTGCTGGCTATGAAGTGGCTGACCCTCAGCAGACAGGACCTCATGCCGTCATGGTAGTTGTGCTGGCGGGCGGAGGCTGGTCTCTGCTCCCTGGACAGGACTCTCCTCACGGCCCGGTGACCCTTCTCCACCTCCTTCTCTGTCTTAAGGAAATGGACCACACTCTCTAGGATCTCTGCCTTCTCCACCTTTGGATTCTTCAGATTCTAAATTGAGAAATGGAGAGTCACTCACTAAACCAGCCTGATATATTACAACAATCAAACTCAAATAAAAGCATGGCGCATGATCATACCTCATAGTGAGTGTTATCCAGCATCAGGAGTCGTATTGTCTCCAGACTGTGGTTGATCCGCTCCCGTCTGCGTTTCTCCATCACAGGCTTGGAGACCTTGGGGTTAAAGGGTACAATATTCTCATAGTTAATACCATGAACCGCATTTAAGACAACTTTTACTTTAGAGATTGGTTACAGGAGTCATAAAACAGCAGTTTACCCTTCTCACGGTCCTCTGTCTGGGAGACTCGGGGGAAGAAAAAGACTTCATGCTGAAAGTGGACTCGTGTCAGTCTGTCCTTGCCGTGAATCCAAAACTGAAAATGGCACGCTCGTGGCCTCCTTCCAACTTTGTTGATACCCCTGCAGATAGCCACGCCCCTGCTGCGTCACACGCCTTTCATTCAGCGAGCAGCACGCGGCCTTGACAATGGAGAACATTTGGATGTATTTAAACTGATCCTCCTCTTTTCACTTCTTTTCACATTCACACAAAATTAAAGTGTAGTATAAAATAAAGGGGGTGTGCCATGTGGTCTGTCAGCGGATATAATGTGGTTTCTAAGTCTGTTAAAGGGCAAATTCACCCAAATCATAAAGCACAGCCTGCCTGACTTAAAGTTAGTGGTTTGAAGAAGTATAGCTTCAGTCTGACAGGTGAAGATCTCAGTCTCACTGGAACTACTTTATACTGCATAACACTGAAACTTTTCAGACAAGGGGGTTGCTTGAGTGTGACTTCTTCTTCTTTGTATTTTGAACCCTGAATAACTAGCAGGAAATACACAACCCTCCATACAACATAAATTATTTATTAGATTTTAAGAACATACCATGATGTTTAAAAGTTGAAAAAAAGCCTCAGTATTTCACTCTTTTCATACATGCTGATTAGTTAGTGCAAAGGTATTTTTGCCCAAAATTTAGATGAGACATATAAAGTGAATCTGATGAAATATCACTATTTTAAGCTCTGATTTTTCTTTTCCTGACTGAGGCATTCTTCACAGAAAATTGAAAATACAATCATAATTTCTGGCTATTTCTAAAGAAAACACGCCTTCCAAATACAAAATGCAACCATTTAAATATGTATGCCCTCCACAGCCAAAATAAAAAACAGAAGTCCCTCCCCAGTGTCATTTGACATGCTTCCCCCATGTTTGCACCACCCCTCCCCCCTCATGAATAGTGAACACTCCCTTATGGTTTTATCACGGCAGTATATAGAGTGAAATTCCACTGCACATGTTTTTATATATATATGTAATGAAATATAGATGCAACTGGGATGGAAGTCATTTCTGTTTATTCAGATTCAGATCCACTTTATTATCCCACACAATATTTGTTTGGTCCAGGCATGAAGGTACCATAAAATCCACAGTAGAATATTACATACACAGTAAGATCACTACATAAGACACACTGGATCACATCAAGGGAAAATAAACAATGAAGTCACATTTAAGCCAAATTAGAAGGTGAAAGTGACCAGGTAAAAGATCTTCTCATTAAGCTGCATGTTACAGCTACAGGCTGATGATGGCTTGAGGAGTAAAACACTTCTTGAGCATTGATTTGAAACCATCCTTACCCTCCACATATCTCAAAGTAGGACCTGGCCTTGTGTTGTAGAGCCAAACTGCCCGAATCACACCTAAACAAACGCGTGTGCTGTTTGAAGGAGTGTGTTTGTCTTTACTGGGTGTGGCTATACACACTTCGCTTTAAGGAGCCTGGACAAAATCTGTGCAGGAACAGCTGCATGTTTAAAGTGTAGCCTATGATTTCACAGTAAAGTCTGAGTTGGGCTCTGAGTTTAGGGTGCAGCTTTCTCCGCACTGCATTTCTGTGCACCCTGATCCCTATAATGGGCTAAAGTGTGGAGATAACAGCGGGATGATCGGATCACAGGGATCCCGTAGATTAAGTGGCTTTTCAGAGGCAATGATACTTCCGTTTCAAATCAAAGAGAGGGCGATTAGTGGAGGCTCAGGGATCACTGCTGGTTACCATGGGAGCGAGGACCTCGAGGAAACTCACTTTATAATATAGATTTCAACACTACTACTTCAACTATAATGTCCAATATAGTGATGATTACAGGAAAAGGAAATATTTTGAATTTGTTTTGATAAATATAACTGATGCACTCTGAGCTTAAGCCACGTGGACTGTAAATAAGCCCTATAACATGCTCGACTGAGCCTGTGATGGAAACTAATTAGTAAAAATGTGCCCTATGGAGGCAGAGAGATGGACCGCTGACTTCTAATATCGCGATCCTTCAGGTGTGTCGGCCACACTGACAAAAGAGTTGAAATCAAACGGAGCTGATGGGATGGGAACATGTAGTCAAGTCAAGTCAACAACTGCTTTGATTATAAAGGGCTCTTGTGTGAAGTCCAAACATGAGGTATGAGGCTGGCCCGAGGCGGCGCACACTTAACACTCAGGTGTAATCATCATCCTCACACTTCACATCCACTGACAAACGTGGCGTGCTCCCTTTTGTCACTCAGTCTGTTCATCAGTCAGGATTTATTTCTGTATTAAATGTTTAACTGTAAACGCATAGATCTGATTATCTGGCTTTTGCAGTTAAATGTGTGGTCTGTGTTACTGGGCTGTGTAAATAAAACTGTCTGGATTCTTTATTTGGACCAACTCTGCTCTCATTTGGTCTTTTGTATCACTTACTCAGAGTGTGGATGTCTCACACATCATAAAAAGTGCTCATAGCTGCCCACTTTCTCACTTCATCTCTGTTCCCACGTTTCCACGACCAGTTTCCCATGGTCTCACTTTTGGGAGGAGGTGCTCAGACTACATTTGGCCTAATGAAATAATACATGGTGTATTCAAAATGGCCATCCTCACTAGTTCCAACATATATTTCTTATGCATTATGAAATGTTTTTACTATAAATAAGGCAGCCGAAATATTGATCTTTACTCGGATAAACTACATCAGCAGGCTGCCTCTGTCTGATGATGGCATCATTTGTAAAGAAAAGCTGAAGTTTATTGGCATCATTGTTTCCTTTAATATTAACTGTTATATTAGATTTATTCATGTTTAGAAACACCGCATTACCTGATCTCTGTTGAAAGGTAGTTTCGATTCTATCTGTGGCCAATAATGAAGTTTTTTGGAGACCATTTTGGGTTAAGTGTCGTCACTCACACTTTTCAGCCAATCAGAGGCAGCACGAGCGCTACTTATACTCTCCCACAGGCTACAGGAGGCTGTTTGAACTGCTGCAGCCTCCAGTCAGGACATTTGGACCAAACTCTGCAACATGACCAGGAAACTACAAAACCCAGCTGTGGAAGATGGAAAGAGTAGAAAAAGGGTAAGAACTTTTATTTCATTTATTTAGTATCCTACCTCTTTCTTCCTTCATAAAGGTTTTATGTTAAAGTCGTATCTAATGATTTCTTAATGTTAATAAATAGTTTAATAATCAGTTGCAGAGCATTTCTAAGACATTAATGGGAATTATTTTTGGGTTGCCAGGTTTTTTAATGAAAACTAACATTTTTCACTTTACTCATGAAAACAAACAAGGGTTTTCCACAGCCTGGCAACCCAAGTTGTTCTTGGCAATTAAGGTATCACTTATAAACCAAATGGTTTCTCAATGGCACATTTTTCAGTGGTAAATTGTACCTAAGTACATTTACTCAAGTACTGTAGCCTACTTAAGTACAAACTTGAGGTACTTTACTTGAGTATTTTATTATTTTATACTTTTTTTAAAAACTTGTACTCCACTTCTTTTCAGAAAGATATATTGTACTTTTAACTTCACTACATTCATGTAACGACCTGAGTTATTGGCTACTTTAAAAATTAAGATTTTTGTATAAAAAACACAAGAAGAGTATATAAAATATTATGTTTTGTTTTGTAAATTAATCTACACAACAGTTAATACAAGTACAACTGCATAGATTAGTCGATTAACAAATTGGTTGGCTGACAGAAAATTAATTGGCAACTATTTTGCTAAACATATAAATCATTTTCTAATTTATTTTATTTGTAGGAATGATTTTTAGAGTTTTTTGCGTGATTTTTTTTCTGCATAGGTACTTTTACTTTTCATCTGTAAGTACATTTTCCTGATTATACTTACCTACTTGTACTGAAGTAACATTTTCAGTGCAGGACTTTTACTTTTAACAGAGTGCTTTCACAATGTGGTATTAGTACTTTTACTTAAGTAAAGTAACTGAATACTTCCTCCACCACTGTTTTTTTTCACTGCATATACACACTGTATGTGGAAGTTAACTGGTGATACATATGTACATATTGGTCAAACAGCTGGGGCTCCTTGATCACTGACACACCATACTCACATAATGCTGATCATCTCTTTAGGTTCTGAAACCCGTTGTGGAAAAGAAGAGAAGAGATCGAATAAATCAGAGTCTGGCTGAACTAAGGAGTTTGCTGTTGAATCATACATCTGATCCAGTGAGTCATGTCAACAACATCACATCCAGTCTCTACATGTATTAAAGGGAATAACAACCTTAATATGATGAAATGTATTTCTCCCCTGTTTGACTGTGATCACTCACAGCGGCTGCAGAACCCTAAAATAGAGAAAGCAGAGATTCTTGACTTGGCTGTGGAATATCTTAAGACGTGGACAGATGGGAAGAACATAAGAAAGGGTTAGTCAAAGAACCAGTTCAACTTGTGCAAATGTATGAAATATGTCATAAAACAGCTTTTTTTCTGCTGCAACAAATCAGTGTTTTAATCATACTCCTGTTTTATCCCTCGCCCTGATGTTTTTCCAGTTACTGCAGACTCTGACAGTCACATGAAGACTCATGGTCCTGTGGTAAACCTTCATCACTCAGACTCCAGTGGTCCTACTCTCTTCAGCATAGAGAGTGCAGGGTTTCAGCAGTGTGTGGCCCATCTGACCAGCTACATGCACAAAATAACACCGACACAGAGAACGAGCCTGATCGAGGGCCTGAAACACCACACAGAGAGCCGGCAGCCAAACAGCATTAAACCAGACTTCACCCAGAGAGTGCCTGAGACTGAGGCGGCCAGAGGACCTGATGGAATATCTCTGGATGCCATTTGCACATCTGAGAGAAAAGAAGAGCCTCCAAAGTTTCCATCTCACTCCCCATTTCAGCCACAGTCTTGCTCCACACCTTGCCACGACTATCTGTCCCCTCCTCCCTCTCCTTGGCTGTCTCCTTCCTTCTCCACATACACCACCTCTCCTCCTTTCCCGTCATTTGCCTCTCACTTCTCCTTCCCCCCCAGCCTGTCACCTCTGTCCTCCAACACCTCCTTCTTTAGTTTCTCGCCCGCAGCCCCTCACTCGGGCCCTGTTGTCCTACACTGCCCCCCTCTCATCTCACTGAGATCTCCTCCGCACCCTGCACCGAGGGAGGGGTCACCACCAAACTCTTCTTCAGCCATGTGGAGACCTTGGTTTTGATGAAGAGCATCAGAGACTGACAAACTGGAAACAGCAGAGCCACCTAGTGGGAACTAACTGCAATCATTGGCTGCGGAGAGGATGAGAAACTCTCCATGCTGGGAATGTATAGTGTACATATTATTCAAATTTCCTATATTTTGTATTTCTGTTCTAAATAAAACTTGTACTTAAATCTTTTAAGTCTCAGTTTGTGCAGTTATCTACTGTATTCATTTAATGATACACTGACTGTGAACAGGTTTTATTTTCCCTCACAGGCCTTGTGTTCACTGATGTGCATCAAAATTGTTATAAAAGTTACACTTCTGAAAAAAAAACCTACTGCAGCATGCTAATTATACCATTGAAAATATAGGGGAAAACATGAAAAGAAAAATCTATTTTGAGACACTTTTTAAGACACTTAACAGGTGTTCTCATTTGCATGAGACATTACAATTGCAAATCAGTTCACACACAGGCCTAAACTTGAAGCCAATGACCAAACTGACACATTCTTGTTTGCAAAATGCTCTGACACTCACAAAACAAAAAAAATACATGCAGCAAATGCAAATATTTCCATCAAACAGCACAGCTTGTGGTCAAATTTAAGTGTTGTTTTAATCAATCATGACACAATGGACAACAAAATACAGCTATCAATATGAACCAGTTCAACAGTCATTTGTGCTGTATGTCTGTGTCATTTGTTGATACTCGACATAGTTATAAATGTGTTAAAAAGGCAAGTAAGCATATCACAGCATGAGTTGTATTTTGCTCTCCAAAACTGATTTTACTAGAGATAACAGACCCTGCTGCACTCTGCACTGTTTACACTTTTTTAGATGCCCAGTTGAAATACTAATAAAAGGACATGATTTTCTTCATCCATTTTATCACATTAATTTTTTGTAAGTGACTTCAGCCTCTTTGATCCATGCTGCAAATAGCAACACAGAGGTAGCATCTTTTATGGATAAAGGCTGATTGAAAATTTGTGCAAAAGAGGTTCACACAGGTGACTTAGAGATTCATTATTATGCAAGTCATTTCTCTCACCTGTGAATGTTTTCCTTTTAATTAACACAGCTCATCCAATAGCAGTTTAGGTCTTTCTATAAGATCTGCGTTAATTGTTTTGAAAAGGTGTGAAAATGTGTGAAACCAAAGAAAACATGTAACACATTTGTAAGAGAAGACTTCTTCCATGCTGAGAAGGTGATGATGAAGATCAAGTGTATCCCAGTTTGATTAAGCTTGTTTCAGCAACTGAGAAAACTGTAACCTGTGCAAGATGCTCTCTTTTAGTATCAATACAGTAGATAAACAATGAACAGAAAGAAAATAAGACAGTTATAGAGGCAACCCTTTTTAATGTCTAGATTATGGAGACCAGTAATCATGGAAAAAAACAGCAACATTGATGCTCAGTCATACTGTAGCTGCGACTAAAGCATTAAAGGAGAACTCCACCAATGTTTCTCATCAAACACCATTTACAGGTGTTGGGGAGTACTGCATACACGATAAAAGTTTTATAAGCCTTTTTTGTGTGTGTGAAGTCTGATAAATGTCCTGAAATGATTTCACTTGGGTCAGTTCTGCTGAGATCTACAAATTTAAAAACAAACAAATCTGTAAGTAGAGAGTCAAAACAAAGTGAGCATACCTCTGCGGCCTGATCCTCATCTCTGACTGAGAACTGCAACCCAAGGCTATAGGAACCACTACGACCGTAACACACAAATCTCCAATTGAACTACCAGTGCTTGAGTGTGAGTTGTGGGTAATGGAGGCTCCAAATTGTGACAAGGAAGAAAAATGCATTGAAAAAGAAGACAATATCTCTGGTTCTGCTGCATGGATTATATTCCTTTCTTTTGCCTGACGATGTTATAGGGGTGAGACACAGTGTTCCGAAATGGGCTGTCCCAATTGTACCTGCCCTCAGTGCTAAGGTTACACGCATTAAGTGTGAACATGTGAATATTGAGACTGAGGTCTATATCAAGTGTGTCTCAAGGCAAAATTGTTCTCAGGGCATGCTGCACAGTAGAGTGCTGAGTGAAACATGACCACTGATCAGAGAACACTGGCAACATTTATAACTGCACAGTGTTGAAATGCAAAGACAATCATCTCAGCCTGTCCATTTCCACTGTTCAGATGTTTATGACAACCTGTTTGCCAGATCCCTCTGCTGTGATGCATAAGACCCAGCAGACCCCAGAAACTCAGGGCACTGTATTTCAGGTTGTTTTAGGATGGTATTAGAGTCAACCTGCAACTTACCAACTAACTATATGTAGAAATACCTTGCTCGTTTGAATTTGGTGTTAGGAATGAATGATGATGTGGTAAATATGAGGTAAATGAAAGATGAGTGTCACTAATCCACCTATCATAACACAAGAACAGATGTCCAACTGCCATAGGAATCACAACAGCTTCCTGTTCATCAAGGAGAGACTTTCAAGCAATATGACAAACATTTCTTTCCTCAGCTGTGTAACTTAGAACATAGTGGAAGTTCTTTGAATTCTTCACTGGTAGCTGAGGGTTGCAATGGGACATCTAGAGGTGGCAACAATACTTTAACATGCATTGATATTCTATTAATAATAGGCTAAAACATAAATTAATGGGCTACACTCATAACTGTTGATGATCAGTCTCATATTTTGCAGAACCTTTAACATTTACATTCACAATGACAAATAAATAGAACCATTTCTGAGCTCATTTATAAAAATTACAGCTCTCAAGTTGTAAAATGCTTTAAGCAAACCACTGAACAAAAATGCATTATGCAAAACCTGGGATCCTCTAAATGACCTCAAGCTGACTAATCTGAATTTAATAGTATGGCGTACCATGCATTATAACATACGCTGATAATATGAGACAATGGGTTCTGATGATACTTAAGGCTGGTAAAGTCATGGACTTTCTTCTGCAGAACAAACTGCAACATATTCATCTGTCACACCATGGAGCTGCTGAAGATTAATCAGGCTGAGAAAACAAATATTCCCTAACAAGCCATTAGCACCCCAACTGTGGAGAACATGCTTTTGACAGCTAGTGTGTTTTGTACTCCATGTTGTCATCCTCTGCATGTTAACACATTATTCTTTACTATGATTTATTTTGCAGTTACAAGTTAGTCTCATGTGTTCACTGTACATTTTTTCAAGATAATTCAGCTACACAGTGCATTCTGTCACAACACACATCATGTATTATGTTATAGTTATTCTATAGTGAGGCCACATGGTGTGTGTTTTGAAGCTTTGTATTTTAACTGCACTCATAATCAGACTGTGTGTAACTTGTCGTAAAATGTTAACTGTGAGTGTCAGCTGTAAAATCATTAGTAAGGTCAAAGTTAAACTTAAAGGGATAGTTTGGATTTGTTGACGTGGGGTTATATGAGGTACTTACCCATAGTCAGTGTATTACAAACAGTAGATGTCAGTCAACACACCTCTAGTTTGGAGAAGCAGACGGAGTGCTGACATGGAAGCTAAGCTATCTACTGTTGTGAAGGGGTCAGCAACAAAACACATTTAGCCACCTAAAAAAGTCAAACCTAAACAAAAATCAAATGACAGTCAATGACAGTTAAAATGTATGTTGTATTGAGAACATTTCCACCACTTTACCTTTCTGTCAGACAGCCCTTTCCAATGGAGAAGCTATTAACAGCTACATTTCTCCATCTGTGCTCTCGTCAAAGCCACCAGACTCCATGAACAAAAACCAGTAATTTAAGCTTGCTGAAAATGGGAGTTGCTGGTCTACCGCTGCCTTGATTAGTCAGTTAGTTTGTATTATTGTGCAACTTTGGTAAATCTGAACAAACACTTTTCAACACCAAAGTCACACAATAACACAAACAAAATAAAGGGTCAGTTCAATCCGGAAGACCTTCTTTATGCTATATCCATTCACAATTCTCTCTCTATCCCACTTCCACGTTTCCACTCATCAGCTGACTCGCCTCTCCAATCAAACTTCGCCATGATCTCCTCCAGCCTTCCATGTTGCTGCTGCCAAACTTAAAATCCATTCTCCTCCCTGCTCCTGTCAGCTGTCTATTACGCGGAATTCACCTCCAGTCACCTTATCCAGAGCCCAGGACGAGCTCATCAAAAGTCCACTCCTCTTCACATACAGATCCTCAGCTCCCTCTTCATCTTATCTCATCACCACCATTACAACCACCACATCTACTGTGTCTTTACCATCCTCCTCGAATAGATGACATCACGATGGGGTCTAATCGCCAAAGACTTTTCACATTTCTCATTCTTATGTGCACATGTAAATAAATATTCTTTTCTCTCAGAACAAGTCTCTCCTGATGGAACTGATCGAGGCAGCGGTATACCAGTAGCTCCTCATTTCAGCAATGTTAAATCGCTGTGTTTCTTGGTAGAGTCTGGCTTTAAGGAAAGTGATAAAATGGCTTCAGTTCCCAGGTGGAAATTGCTGTCTGACAGAGAGGTAAAGAAGTGATAGTATTCTAAACATAGCATACACTTAAACTGATACTGATTTTTTTCAGGTGGCTAAAATATGTTTTGTTGCTGACCCCTCCACAGCAGTATATTACTTAGCTTCAGCACTGAACTCCAGCCAGCTTCTCCAAACTGGGGGGCGGGCCAAGTGACATCTACTGTATGTAATAAACAGATTATGGATAAGTACCTAATACAATCACACTTCAAAAGACCCAAACTATCCCTTTAACCTAAACCTCACTGGACCCATTTATTGTGCAGACAGTGAGGTGAGAAGCACCCACAGTGGCAGGTACTGAGTGTGAGAACAGTTAAAAGGTTTAGAGGATGTTTCACTTCTGACCAACAGAGGGCAGCATTGACACAGCATAGCCATGCAGCCAAGTATCTCCATCCCTCCCTGACCTCTCTCAATGAGGATAACAGAAGGGGCCTGTCATTTGGGCTAAATAGAGGATGTCATTGAGCTATTCCATCAGCGATAAG